TCTCGCGCTGCAGCGTGACGGCAAGCGTCTCATAGAGCCGGTTGGCTTCCACTGAGACCGCTTCTCCCGTTTGTGCCGCGATGGCTGCGGCGAGAGCCTGCCACGCTTTGGAAGCTGCAGGCCCCCAGCCGCCCCGGCACTCGACGACCAACGGGATGAACTGGAGGCCTTGGGCAGTGCACTGATCCTGGATTCCAGCACAGGGGGCCGTATAAGCTACTGGTTGCAACTCTGCCGAAGAACTGTGGACGTGTTAACAGCCACAGCACTTTGTATCACAGGACAGTTTGCGCAGGTCCGTTCCAGACAGGCCTGCTCAAGCAAACATGAAACCAATGTAGAGCATGACGGCCTGTGCCTTTCTCAGACGAGAGCTCATGTCGTAGAAATAGACTGCGAGGCAGGCAGATATGTACAGAAAACTCTGGGGATACGGATGATGCAAGTATAGGAGAACAGGTATACAAATCCCTTCGTCGACCGAAATCGGGCCTCGGTCTGAAGCTTGGTGTGCGAGTCCAAATACTGCCTGAAATCGGGCAATGCCGATTTGGGCTCAGGGATGCTAATGGGGTGTTGGTATGAGGATTTTGGGCATTGGGGTCTTTGAAGGCCTGTGCATCTCCGCTTGAGTTGCGGCGAACTCTTCGTGCATCTTCCTGCGCTCAAGCACGCTGTGCATAGAGAGCCATGTGGAACACACTTGTCTTTGCATGGCCTCTGCTGATATTCCAGCGTCAGCGACCTGCGCATGAAGAGACAACTACGTCATCATGCTCTCGCTTAGCAGGAGCAAACTGAAGCCGCGGATTCCAGCATTGTGAGGCCGGCGCGCCGCTTGTTGCTCTAAGGCAGCCCTGGCACGAAAACCAGAAGGGACGTGAAAAGCTGCAGGTTACGAGAAGCGTGGCTTTGTCAGTTTTCGTAAGGGCTTCGTGGGGGTAATAAATGATGGCTGCTGCTAGAATTTTGCAGGGCCGAGGGCCCCATAAAGCACCCGGGACCCGCAATGACGTTGTCGGTGGATTGTGCTCATTGGCTCTCTATCATCCCCTTACTTCTTGTACGTGCAGGCCGTCATAACCATTCGGGAAAGCTAGCAGGTCAAAGGTGGAAGTCAAGCACTGGGTCGGCCTCTGGTCCAAGGCCGCTTTTTTCAGACCCATCCTGAGAAAGGACGGACTCGACGCAGCTTTCAGACACCAGTGATACCAGTGCCCTGTGCCCTGAGCGCCACACATCGCCTGATTGGTCTGCTCATCCAGGGCCATTTCCTGGCTTTTTGCGTTGCAAATGCTGCGACCTCTCGACCAAGCTCCGCCGCCTGCATCTTGACCTGCTGATCCATGTGAAGCCTCAGAAGGCATCCCAGGAAGGCCCAGAAAAAGCGCATCGAGAGAGCTCATGGCAGCAAGGCTTGCTTCTGCTGCTCTGCCGCCTCGGTTGAGGCACAGAGGCACAAAACAGCGATGGGCGATGAGAGGATCCGACCTCGTGGAGCTGCTTCTTCCTCTCAATGTTTTGCCTGGCTGAGCTCTAAAAGGACTCACAGGGCCGTGAGAGCCTTTCTCTTATGCCCCCACGCGGAAGCTTCGAGGAGCCGAGTGATGTTGCCATCATGCGGTGTTTCAGGTGCTCACTTCGGGACCTCCTGGTGGTTTTGCCGTTTGTCTTGTCGGAGTAGGTGCACTCCACTTCAGGCTGATTATGGCCGTAATAATGCGATGAGAGGAGGGGACTCGAAGCTGACTTCTGGCTCTTGATTGAGACTTCGTCCGGAGTGGGGAAGACTATTGCGATGCCGGCATCCGCCACCATTAACACCAAACTATGCCCCCAGCTTCTGACGAAGACCAGTGTTCTGACAAGCAGTTCGGCAATATTGACACAAGCACCGCCACAATGGTTGAGGGAGAATCCCGCAGAGGACATAAGCACTACGGGCTCGTCCCGGGTTGTTGCTTTGAGCTGAAGAGGTGCTCACCCTCAGAAAACCTACAGATTTCAAACTTGCAATGCCGACTGCTGCAACGACTTGTTCCCTTCCTCGAGTTGTAGGTCCAGGCTCCTATCGACACTCACGCGAACGTCGGACGCTTGAATTGCTCGCAGAGTATCGCGAAGCTGCAAAGCATGCCGTCCTGCAGTAGGCCTTCTTCTGCTCTTCTATGGACGCCGGATCCGGAAAGCCACGAGTGTAAGGTCCCTTGGCATCTTTGAATGGACTGCGTGTGACCACAGTCACTCAGCTCCAGGCATCTAAATCGTCACTGCTCGCCGGGGATGCCTTGTGCAAGAGTTCACCGCGCTGGCCATCGACGATGTACGCTTGCCCCAAACTTGTGCCGCTGAGCATGCAGCATCATTCTGGGAGCCTGCAGGGGCAACCGACGGACATGGAAGATGATTGCATTTCAGGAGTCTTCGCCAAGAGACCCGAGACGGGAGCGGCATACACCTTACGAGAATTTCTCTGCCAAGTGTGGCTCATAATTCTGCACAGGCGAGGCTGTAGCAGGTCCGGCTTGTGCAGGCATCGGCATCGCCACAGAGCCAGTGGGACCAGCCTGAGAGCGACTTAGATCTTGCCCGTGCATCCGCAGACTATCTAGGCCTACATTTCCAGAGTGTCCCCACCAAGATATATGCCCCAACCTCTCAGGCCCTGAAGAGTCTTTGTTGGCGGGGCCGTGGAGTACCCATATAATAATTGGCCGAGGAATGCAAAGAGATAGCAACGGTTCACACGGAGCTTGCAGCACATTGCTGCCAGCACACTACAAAAGCGTTCCAACTCTCCCGGCACGACTTCTGAGCTAACACCGGGACACCAGGTATCGGCGCACAATTTCGAAACTCCAGTCGATGTTCCTCTTGTCCTGACTGCGTGTCGGTATCTCGCCTATATCTTTGACTACTCCGACTTTCTGAGCAGCTCGTTTCTGTGATTTGCTGTATTGAAAAATGCAATTGCTGCTTGGCTCTTTTTGCCATGCACCTTGTTGCTGCATTACTTGCTTCAGCTCAGCTTGCCTTTTCAAACGCTCATTGTCAATGATCTTTGTTCACGCATATCGTAGCATAACTTTGGTGGCACGGGTCCTCGTCGTGTTTCCATGCTCCACACATTATGGACCTTCTACTTGTTCACTCAGCTCTAAGTATTCGGCGCCGCAGGAGATAGCTCATGTCAATGTGCCAACAACACCCTGCAGGAATTAGGCGACATAGTTGAATCTCTCTAGGCCACCGGCCATCATGGCTGGACCAGCGCTGGCGAAACCTTACTGGAAAACGCAGTCGCGGCTTGAAACTGACTGCTATTTGACCAAGATTGCCACGCAATCTTGCAATCTTGCTGGTCTCGCCGACTAGTTTACCTTTTAGACCAAGATTGCAACCAAGATTGCCACACAATCTTGCAATCTTGGTCTCCAAAAGGTAAACTAGTCGGCGAGCAAGTGCGGGGCGCAAGATTTCAAGCAATCTTGCAGTCTTGGTCTCCAAAAGGTAAACCAGTCGGCGCGCCAATGGGGCAGGGGCAAGATGACCAAGATTGCCAAGATTGCTTGGCCATCTTGCCCCCCCGAGCAAGATTGCAAGACCGTCAAGACTTTGGAAAGATCGCAGTTCTAGTTTGCAGGCACAATGTCTTATTATTACTACTACTACAACTACTACTACTACTACTACTACTACTATTACTACTGCTACTACTACTAGCACT